CTCCTTGGAAGGAAAGTTATGACCAACCTAGATAGCATATTAAAAAGCAGAGACATTACTTTGCCAACAAAGGTCCATCTAGTCAAGGCTATGGTTTTTCCAGTGGTCATGTATGGATGTGAGAGTTGGACCGTAAAGAAAGCTGAGTGCAGAAGAATTGATGCTTTTGAACTGTGGTGTTGGAGAAGACTCTTGAGAATCTCTTGGACTGCACGGAGATCCAACCAGTCCATCCTAAAGGAAATCAGTCCTGAATATTCATTGAAAGGACAGATGCTGAAGCTGAAACTCCAATACTTTGGACACCTCATGTGAAGGACTAACTTATTTGAAAAGACCCTGATGCTGGGAAAGATTGAAAGCCAGAGGAGAAGGGCATGACGGAGGATGAGATGGTTGGATGGCATCACCGACTCGATGGGCATGAGTTTGAGTAAACTCCGGGAGTTGGTGATGGACAGGGAAGCCTGGCGCCCTGCAGTCCATGGGGTCACAAAGAGACATGACTGAGTGACTGAACTGAGACCTGAGAGGAGAGAAATACATCCTCTCTCTCTTAATGTGGATGATGAAGCAGAAGGATGCTGGCCACCATTTTTCAACAAGGGGACTGACTCACAATGAAGTTGCCATCACTGAATCGAGGAGACAGCAATTTTAAGCCTAAGTGAACGTTTTACTTGGGAGCTCCTAAATGGTACAAACTGCCTTTTGATTTTAGTGATCAAATGCGCTTCTTTTTGTTTATTTCATGAAAATTCTTTTACCTTTAGTAGTCCAGTGTTCCCCTTTGGGGGGCTTTATTTTATTGTTCTTTTTCTGACTTCTTGAGTAGTATGCTTAATTCATTCATTATTTTTGGTTTCTGATCTTTTCGGTTAATTCCGTAAAATTTCCTGTGAGTCTCACTTTGGCCTCATTTGATATTTGACCGCATTGTCATTCGTTTCTATATTACTTTCTAATTTCACACTGTATTTCTTACTTAACCCAAGAGTTCTATCTGTTTGTTGTTTAATCTCCTGACAGTTGTTTGGGAGAGGGATAGGAGAATTTATGGAAGTTTTCTTTGTGCCTAGTATTTGGTAATTTTTATCGAATATTTCGTGTGTGTGTGAAATAAAAGTGTGTGTTTTGAAACAGAGTTCTAGCTATAACTGATTGCATGAGGTGTGTTGATTGTGTCATTCAAATCCTCTCAACGCTTCAGATAGTTTATGTCTGTAAATCTGTTGATTTCTGAGAAGTTTATCATGAGAATTAAGACTGTTTCTTTTTTGGAAGGTAAAGAACGTTTATTATTTTAAAGAATCAATGGGAGTATTGATAGATAATGATACTATAAAATTCTACAACTTAGGGGAAATTTAGAGATTGTTTTATTATTCTTTCATATTATGCATTTAAAAAGTTTTACCTGATAAAGAATTTATATGTGAAAAAGATGACATCTGTAAAAACATATGTACAGACAGGTACACTCACATTAGGGAACAAAGACTATTTCCTTCTGCAATTCTACCTTTATTTTTAAAAGCTGTATTGTTAGGAGTACAAGATTCATGCCTACTATACCATCTTGGTGAAATATATCCTGTTACTGCATTTAATATTTTTTACAGAGATTCAGATCATAGAGTTCAGTCCTAACTGTGCTGTAGTAATTGATTAGAATATAATTTTATATTTTGTATGTGTTTCTTATAAATTTTCCTGGGGGTTATTTTGTACGTTCTACAATTTCTTGCTTCAAACATTTGATTCATTTATTTTCATTCTTTGTTGCTCAGTAGTAAATACATTTAAAGTTATGAATTTGCCTTGAACATACCCAGTAAGTTTTTTCAATGCATTGCTCTATGACTAGTATTTTCTAAATAGTTTATAGAATGTTTTTATTTCCTTGAAATAAGTTAACCAAATTTATTTTTAAGATTTTTAAATCATTTGTTTAATCTCACTTAATTGTTAATAAATCCTTGTTCATTGCATCATGTTTAAAGATGTGGCCCAGAATAGTTCTGCTTTTAGGGAAGTTAACTGTGGTTTTCTTAGTAGTCTAGTGTGTGGTTGACTTTTAAAGATGTTCCATCCCTCAAAGATAGGCAGAGTTGGAGAAGACTCTCCCACTGCAAGTGAGGTTTTTCCATTTCTCATGTATCACTCACTATGTTTGATGTCATGATAGTACATGGTGATGGTGCTAAGTCATGTCTGACTCTTGCAGCCCCATGGACTGTAGCCTGCCAGGCTCCTCTGTCTGTGAAATTATTTTAGCAGGAATACTGGAATGGGTTGCCATTTCCTTCTCCAGGGGATCTTCCTGACCCAAGGACCAAACTCGTGTCTCCTGCATTGCAGGTGAATTCTTTACTACTGAGCCACTAGGGAATCCCTTGATGTTACATAGACATTATAACTTTTATCTTTTTTCACCATAAAATAACTTTATTTTTTCTGTTTAAAGCTTTTATCCTGGATTTCATCTTTAGAAATTAATCTTGTCATTTCTATTTTTGCTTGCATATATTTAATGTATTTCGACCCATCTTTTACCTTCAACTGCTTTATATTACTTTGTTTTAGGTGAGTCTCAAGTAGCACATGAGTGGCTTTTTTTTTCTACCCATTATAAGAATCTTTGACTTGTTGTATAAGTAGAGGTTTTTGTTTGTTTTGTTTTGTTTTTTGTTTGTTTCATGACCATGTTGGTGGTCATGAATATGCCTGGTCTTTATTCAGTTATCTTTTATTATTGGTTGATCATTCCGCACAGAGCATTACTTTCCACAGAGCCAGAAGAGTAGAGATGGCTTTGCTTCTCTGGGTTTTTTTTCTTTTCTCTTTTCCTTACTCTTTTCCTCAGAGGCAATCTAATTATAGGACTGATCATTCTCTTGATTTTTGTACCATGTATTCCCTGATGGCTCGGTGGTAAAGAACCTGCCTGCCAATACAGGAAACATAAGATATGTGGGTTCAATCCCTGGGTTGGGAAGATCCCCTGGAGGAGGGCATGGCAACCCAGTCTAGTGTTTTTGCCCAGAGAATCCCATGGACAGAGGAGCCTGATGGGTCCCAAAGAGTCGGACACGACTGAAGTGACTCAGCAATCCCTAAAAATGGTCTGTACTGCCTATTTTTGAACTTCATGCAATATGTACCTTTTGGTGTTTGACTTCTTTCAACAATATGTTTTATGAGATTTACCATGTTGCTTATGTTCTCATTGCTCTTGAGTATTCTGTGCATTTATCCTGCCTTTGACGACAGCTAGTGGGTTTCTAGTTGAGGCTATACTCAACAGTGCCACCGTCAACAGTCTCATATGTCTTTCCTGCTGCTTACATGCATGATATTTCCAGGGCACACTACAAGACATGGACCTGCAGGTTGTGAGTTAGGCACATTTTCTACTTCGCTAAATGATCCCAAAGTTTTTCACAGTGCTGGTCCCAGTCCATCTCCTGTAGCAGTGTAATGATAGCAATCTCATTACTCCATGGTCTTGACCACACTAACAACAGGGTGGAGTAGGAGTGAGTCATCCTCCTGTGTAGTATGAGGAGCATGGGATTCTTGGGGTGGGACTTCAATGGAGTGATGAGGAGGGGTCCCAAGATGTCACTTACTCTGCTGATTCATGAAGACCCAGGCTTGCAAACTGCCTCCTCTCAGGAATTTACCTTCTAGGCCCCAGACAGCTCACCTCCCTCCAGCCATGAGCTGTTCTCTTAAAAGTGCAGAGAAAAAGTGTGGGAAAAAGGAAAACTCAAGTTCAAGCTCAGTCAGTCTCAGCAGGAACTAGCCATCCCCCGTTAGAGCCTCAGTTTCCATACCTCCAGGAAAGCCATGAGAAGGGCTTTGAGGATCTTGAACTGGGTACTGGGGATGCCAGGGAGCAGGCACTGTCACAATCCAGATACCTTACACTACCACAGACCCAGTGTCAGGCATCCAGGGGCATGGTCAAGGCCAAGGCTGAGCCCAGCAGGTACTGTCATGGGCCAGACACCAGGTGCTGTCACAGGCCTTGGGTTTGGCAACAGGTGCACCATACCAGAGGGGTATCTGGCAACAGCATCACATCACAACCCTGGCAGGTCACGACCCAGACCACACTGTCTCCTTGGCTTCCTGATTCTGCCCCACTTCCTGCTATATAAACAAACCATGAGTTCTAGAATTCTCACGCAGTGGAGATGCCCTGCCCACAAGTCCCACTATGAGAACCCGTGAGAGCTGTTTCCTTGCTTGCTATGGCCTGTGGGCAGGGAGCTCTTCAGGGCCTCGCATCTCCATTTCCTTCTGCCAGGGCTGACAGTAACCTCTATGTTGAAGGTAGGGCTTTGGGAACATGAGAGAGAGGCAGGAGGACTCTGCCTGGGTGCCCATGTCAGCCGTCCTCATGCCTGAAGGGCCTCCATTTGTTCTTGATGGGCACCTCTTCACCAGTCTGCATGGTGTGCCAAGCTTGGGGACCCAGACAGTGTCAAGGCAGTCCCTGTTTGCAGGTGACCATGAACATGAGGAAAAAGCCTTGTTAAAAGTAGAATAAAACTAATAATCTGTGTAATGGATGAGCTTGTTAGGGAGGCACAGTCTCAGAAAATCAGGACTTGTGCTGAGGACAGTGTGATATGTAGGTGACTGCTCACCCCATGGAAGGCATCATTCACACGGCTTATGTCACAGCACCCCATGAGGTGGACCATTTCACAGTGGGAACCAGCGGCCTAGAGAACTAAATGCTTATGGGGCCAGGGTTCAATACCAATTTTCAATAGACTCTTTGGGGGTAAAAAGTTTGGGACCCCTTGTGACAAAGTCTGGGATCCCACCCTAGCTGACCACATGTAATATTGTGGTGGCAGCCCTGGTTCAGATTACCTGCCAGCTGCCCATTCTGCCCCTTGGCAGAAAATATGCTGGCATGACATCTGTTGGTAGGGATGTGTCCCCTAACTTAGGGACTTTGTCCTTTTCCCTTACTGTGTGACTTGCCTTCCCAGACCAGTCCCTTCCTTAAGTGAGGGACTGAATGAATGAGTGCCGTTCTGCTCTCTGCTGTCCTCAGGCATCTGTGACGCTTGGGGCTGCTGAGGATGTGCACTGCTCCTCGTTGCTGATGGCTGTGCCTGTGATGATGTGGGGGTGAGGAGCTGTGACCTTGTAGGGATGGAGGTCATTAGCCAAGACAGGTGTCTCCATCACCATGTGTGAGTGCAGGTGGTGACATCAGAATACAGCTTCTGAGTGGGAGTGCTTCGACTCTGGAACTCCAAGAAGGGGTGGAGGTGGTCTGCAGTGGTCTCTTGGAGCCACTGAGTGTCCCCTGTGTGTGGAATAGTATCACTGTGCCTATGAGAAGATTGATCTGCAACATCTCATGCCCTCAAATTAATCCATTCTGGTTCCCTAAAGATTCAGCTGCTGTACTTGGTGCTGGCATCTGGTGCTGGCATCTCCAAGCTGAATCCTGAAAATCTTGCATAAGCTTTTGGGGGAAGAGATCAGAGTCAGTGTTGTCCTGGACATGAGTTCTGAGGAGTGCTATTCTCTGAAACTGAAGAACCCACTACAGTTGTGGATCACAGAAGCAAAGCCCAACCCTTTCTCCTAGAGCTGTCAGTTCCTTCTTTGCCACTCACTGGCCCCAACAGCGGGAGTGGGAGGAGAAGGGGCTGCATTGAACTAGATATGAGATTTAGATTTTCAAGTGGTGAAGTTCATTCTGTGGGACCCTGGCTCTCCAGGGCCTTAGCCTTGTGGGAAAGGAAAGGACAAGACTTTGGAAGCCTTCTCTTTCCTCCCAAAGTCTCCATTGGGGTAGGCTGTAATCTGAAACAAGGTAGCCATAAACCCACCACAGTATATGAGAAAGGCTGGAAAATATAGCCACCCCACCTTGGGGCAGACAGAAAATAGGACAGCAAGCCATTGGCCAGAGACACGGGCAAGAATGGAGCAATGAGAGGGCAAGGTAGACCAAACTCCATGGAAATGTGGCCTGTGTGGGTGCCTGTGGATCCCTGGAGGGAGCCACTGGTTGAGGGGAAAGGTGACCAGCCTCAGGTGTGGCAAGGAAACCTACCACGCACGTCTGATAGCAGTACCAAGAGCCCTTGGACATGGTGGAACAAGACCAAACATCAGTGGTTTGGGACTGACTGAGGGATTGCTATGAGGCATGGCCCAGTAGATGTTTCTGCTAGTGTATGGGTCGCAATAGATGGTTAGCCTGGTCTGTTCATTGTTGTATCCTCTCCACCACCACCATAATTCCCCTCCTGCCCCTTTCTCCCATTCCCAGGCAAGGATAAGCTTTGCTTTCTGCTGCTGAGCCCCTGAAGCTAAACTGCTTAGGGAAACACTTGCTGGAACCACGTCTGCTTGAGACAGTGTGAACACATGTCCCAGTTTGCATGTAATGAGGAGGTCTCTGACCGCCTTATGATGGCTTGTAGACCCTAGTCCAAACTTGACAGCAGGTTATACATTGATAAAAAAAAAAAACCTTTTTGTCTTTAATCTCAGTCTCCAACCTTTGCTGTAGAATTTCTCCTTTTCCTGTCTTCAGTGATGTTGAGTTATTAAATACTAGTCCAGGAAGGTCCAGTTCAAAATCTCAGTCTCATAGCCAGTTCAATGCCGCCCTGTCTCCTCCCACTCATGCTGTTGGGGCCAGTGAGGGGCAAGGAGGGAACTGACAAGCATCTTTACTCATTGCCTGGAATAGTCACAGAGAGCACACCTCCAGGGCTGGTGGGCCATGGAGGCAGGCCCTGGACTTGTACAATGTGACGTCACTGTCCGTTGCTTCCTGGCCGCAACTGACCAGCAGCCCTGCTCATTGTGCCCCATCACTTAGTGCTTGACTGACTCTCACCGCTCTGATGATTCTTTCCCCTTCACTCCCCTAACCTTTTGCTTGTGTTAACAAGGGAGAAAGGATGACCCCTGGGCTGTTGGATCCAAACAAGCCCTGGAGAGGTTGTCTGGTCCCCATTGTTTGGAGGCTCTGTTTTTAGCATGGGGCTCCTGCTGCCTCTGGGCCTTTGGTTGCCACTTTGGGGGTGGTGAGAAAAGTCCCTCTCCACATGTGCATGTGGCTGTGGCTGCTTGTGAAGGCTGGAAGTCTGAGGGCTGCCTCTTGCTGCCTGAGAGTCTGCATGAGGCTGGCACGGCCCCCTCTCTACCTTTTTCCTAAGGGTCCTGGTTCCGGGGTTGTGGTCGGACTAACATCTCCTGCAAGAATGTAAACGGAAAGTTAGTGGAGGTAGGCAAGTGGCCATGGCAGGTGAGCATCCTATTCCTGGGCATGAACATCTGCAGCGGCTCCCTCATCCACCGCCAGTGGGTCCTTACAGCTGCACACTGCTTACAGAGGTCAGTCAGGGTGGCCAGTGGTCTCAGGGGCTCTGCATTTTGGCCTGGGAGGCCCTGCTGAAGCTGGTGATCTGGCAGTAGGGGCCTGTCTGGGTAGCCCTGTGCCCAGCTTGTGTCTCTCTACCCGTTCCGTGTTTGACCTCACTGCTGGTGATCTGCCTCCTACCCATGATCCTGCAGATCCAAGGACCCCTTGTCATACTCCGTGAAGATGGGAGTTCAGAGCCTCTCAGAAAATGGTACCGAGCTTCCAGTCATTCACGTCGTGATTCATGAGGATTTCACTAACCTGTCCCAGGATCTTGCCCTCCTGAAGCTCAGGGAATCTGTCTCCTGGTCCCCACTCATCCAGCCCGTCTGTCTACCTAACCCCAAATTCAAGCCATCTTTTGGATCCCTGTGCTGGATGATCGGGTGGGGAAAAATGGATATTCACGGTAAGTGAAAGCAGGCTGAGGTCCCAAGATACCTGCCTCTTCAGAACATAGCCCCACCAGGGGCTCCTCTATCCCATTCCTTTATTCACTCCATCAGCAAACATTTCCTGAGCACCTAAATGTGCTGCACATTGTCCTGAACTCTGTTGATGGGAGAATATATACAGTACCCTGGTGTAAAAGACACCCATTATGTCCATGGACCTCAGTTCTCAAAGTTAAGTTAAATCCAATGTCAAACTCTCACCTTGCAGCCTGGAAGGAAATTACCTTTGTTACTGGGATTCCCTGTCTGCAGGTGGCACAGGGGCCATGGTCTCAGGCGCTAACTAGACACCGGGTAGCCACTTACACACTTGTTACCTTGAGCACCAAGACTTCCTGTCCCCTGTGTTGGTGTCACTGTGAGGTCCTAGAATTGAGGAGCCTTTGTGGGTCCTGCCTTCCAGGGGGTGGCTCCGTCTAGGCTTCAGGATCTTGCCACCTTGGCAGGTAGCAATGGAACAGTGCTCAGCCACTCATGCTCATGAAACCTGAATCCTTGGCTTCCTTCAGTGCCTGGATGTTGTTCTGAGCCCCTCAGGAGACTTTTGCTTAGACTTTTTAATGCGCTTGGGCATTTTCAAAAGTCAGGCTGTGGAGTGGGGCCTTTGTGAATCACTATCCTAGGAAATAGCCCTGCCCCCCACATTATGAATCTGGATAACTCCAAGATGGAGGTGAGCTGAAGAGATAGTGAAGCAGGATCTCTCTCTCTCCAGTGAACCCACAGTCCCCCTACAGCCTTCAGGAGGTGGCTGTCAAGATCATAAATAATGATATCTGCAATCAACAGTACAAGTTCCTCTTCTTGACAGACCAGAAGAAGTTACTTGGGAGTGACATGATCTGTGCCACCTCATACCTGGGCATGGACACCTGTCAGGTGCGTAGCGTCTAGACCTGGGCAAGAAGGTGACTTTTAGGGGTCATGCATTCTTTCCCACGTGGCCCTGGGAGATTAGAAATTGCCTTTCCCTGGGCTCCAGCTTTCCCACTCTGTAAAATAGGGATGAAACCACTCCTCTCCCCAATTATAGTTAATAATGGCAGTACTTACAGGGAACTGCTGGGTGATAGGCTGTGCGTACTTTCATCTGTAATAGTCATTGCCAAATCGTTTTCCAAAGCGATTGTAGTAATCTATATTCTTGCAGCAGTGTTTGAGAATTTCATTGCTCTATATCCTTGCCAACTTTTGGTATTGGCCAGACTAAAATGTTTTCCGTTCTGAGGAGAAATAGTGTCCTATGGTGGTCGCACGTGCAGGTCTAGTTACTAGCATACTTGTGCATCCTTTCACATGTTTATTCACCGTTCATGATTCTTTCCTGTGAGTCGCTTGTTCTATTGTTTGCTATTTTCTTTTTATTATATCTTTATATTTTGGATACTGATTTTATGCTCATTGTATGTATTGCAAATATTTTCTTTTTGAAATCATTTTATATATACTGTCTTTGCTGAACAGCAATTTGGATTTTTTAAAACATTTTTTTGAAGTATAGTGGATTTACAGTGTTGTGTTAGCAATTTAGTTTTTATTTCAGTCAAACATGTATCCATTTTTTTTCCCTTTCGGCTTGTGCTTATTTAAGAAATCCTTCATTTTTCCTGAGGTTATAAAGACATTATGTTTTCTTTTTCCTAAAAGTTTGGAAATTTTGGTTTCTACATTTAGGTCTTGAATCATGTGCATTCATTTCGTAAATAGTGAAAGTTAGAGGTCTATTTTTATTTATTTCTGTGTATGGACTACCAGTTTTCCCAGTGTCATTCAGTGAAAATACCATTTCCTCTACTGGCTGTCATCACTAATCTCATAAATCAAATTTCTGTATACATAGAGGATAATTTCTTGAGTTTGACATCTTAACTTTTTTTCATCTTTAATACAAGTGTTTCTTTTTGTTTTTTAAAATTGAAGTATAGTTGATTTATTGTGTTAGTTTTAGGTTTATAGCATAGCGATTCAGTGGTTTTGCAGATTATATTCTGTTATAGGTTATTACATGATAATGAGTATAATCTCTGCCCTGTACAGTATATGCTTATTGCTTATCTATTTTATATATACTGAATAGTAGTTTGTATCTGTTAACCCCATACCCCTAATTTTTTCCTCCCTGTATCCCTTCTCCCTTTGGTAACCACAAGATTGTTTTCTGTATCAGTGACTGTGTTTATGTTTTATGTATACATTCATTTGTATTCTTTTTTAGATTCCACATATAAGTGATACCATATGGTATTTGTCTTTATCTGACTTATTTCACTAAGTGTAATGTTCTCTAGGTTCATCCACATTGCAAGTGGCATTATTTCATTCTTATTTTATAGACTGAATTATATTCCATTGTGTGTGTGTGGGTATCATACCTCCTTAAGCCAATTGTCTGTTGATTGGCATTTGGGTTGCTTCCATGCTGTTAAAGTGCTGCACTCAATATGCCAGCAAATTTGGAAAACTGTGCAGTGGCCACAGGACTGGAAAAGGTCAGTTTTCATTTCAATCCCAAAGAAAGGCAATGCCAAAGAATGTTCAAACTACCACACAATTGCACTCATTTCACATGCTAACAAGGTCATACTCAAAATCCTCCAAGCTAGGCTTTAACAGTATGTGAACTGAGAACTTCCAGATGTACAAGCTGGACTTAGAAAAGGTAGAGGAACCAGAGATCAAATTGTCAACATCTGTTGGATCATGAAAAAGCAAAAGAATTCCAGAAAAACATCTACTTCTGCTTCATTGACTACACTAAAGCCTTTGTGTGGATCACAACAATCTGTGGGGAATTCTTAAAGAGATAAGAATACCAGACAAACTTACCTGCCTCCTGAGAAACCTGTATGCAGGTCAAGAAGCAATAGTTAGAACTGAGCATGGAACAATAGACTGGTTCAAAATTGGGAAAGGAGTGTGTCAAAGCTGTATATTGTCACCCTGTCTATTTAACTTATATGCAGAATACGAAATGCCAGGCTGGATGAAGCATAAGCTGGAATCAACATTGCCAGGAGAAATATCAATAGCCTCAGGTATGCAGATGACACCACCCTTATGGCAGAAAGTGGAAGAGGAACTAAAGAGCCTCTTGAAGGTGAAAGAGGAGAGTGAAAGTGAAAGTTGTTTAGTTATGTCTGACTGTGACCCTGTGAACTATACAGTCCATGGAATTTTCTAGGCCAGAATACTGGAGTGGGTAACCTTTCCCTTCTCCAGGGGATCTTCCCAACCCAGTGACTGAACCCAGGTCTCCTGCATTGCAGTCAGATTCTTTACCAGCTGAGCCACAAGGGACGTCTAAGAATACTGGAGTGGGTGGCCTATCCCTTCTCTAGCGGATCTTCCTGACTAAGGAATCCAACCAGGGTCTCCTGCATTGAAGTCAGATTCTTTACAAACTGAGCTATCAGGGAAGCCTGGAGAGTGAAAAAGCTGGCTTAAAACTCAACATTCAAAAAGCTAAGATCATGGCATCCGGTCACATCACTTCATGGCTAATAGATGGGGAAACAGTGGAAACAGTGGCAGTCTATTTTCTTGGGCTCCAAAATCAGTGCAGATGGTGATTTCAGCCATGAAATTAAAAGATGCTTACTCCTTGGAAGGAAAGTTATGACCAACCTAGACAGCATGTTAAAAAGCAGAGACATTACTTTGCTGACAAAGGTCCCCCTAGTCAAAGCTGTGGTTTTTCCAGTAGTCATGTACCAATGGGAGAGTTGGATCATAAAGAAGACTGAGCACCAAAGAATTGATGCTTTTGAACTGTGGTGTTGGAGAAGACTCTTGAGAGTCCCATGGACTGCAAGGAGATCAAACCAGTCAGTCCTAAAAAACGTCAACCCTGAAAATTCATTGGAAGGACTGATGCTGAAACTGAAGTTCCAGTACTTTGGCCACCTGATGTGAAGAGTCAATTCATTGGAAAAGACCCTGATGCTAGGAAAGATACAAGGCAGAAAAAGGGGATGACAGAGGATGAGATGGTTGGATGGCATCACCAACCCAGTGGACGTGAGTTTGAGTAAATTCTAGGAGATAGTGAAGGACAGGCAAGCCTGGTATGCTGCAGTCCATGGGGTCTCAAAGAATCAGATACAATTGAGCAGCTGAACAACAACAAATTTAATCTGTAGATTGCTTTGAGTAGTATGGCCATTTTAATAATATTAATTTTGAAATCCAAGAGCACAGATTATCTTTGTATTTCTTTCAGTCATCTTCAGTTTACTTCATCAGTGTTTTATAGTTCTCAGTGTATAGGTCTTTCACCTCCTTCGTTAAGATTTTTCCTAGGGTTTTTTTACATGATTTTGAACAGGATGGTTTTTTTACTTTCTCTTTCAGATGTTTCACTAGGGTACAAAAATGCAACAAATTTCTGTATATTAATCTTGTATCCTGAAAACTTACTGAATTCATTTATTCTAATAGTTTTGGATGGAAACTAGGGTTCCAGATATAGAGTATCATGTCATCTGCAAATGTGACAGTTTAATCTCTCCCCTTTCAATTTGCATATATTTTATTTCTTTTTCTTGTCTGATTGCTGTGGATAGGGCTTCCAGTACTATATTAAATAACAGAGACCAAAAAAAACAGTGACAAGAATGGACATCCTGTCTTCTTCCTGAATTCAGGAGGAAGGCTTTCAGCTTTTCACCACTGAATATTATGTTGGCCCTGATTTTGTCATTAATGACCTTTATCATGTTGAGATATGTTTCCTCTATACCCACTTTGATGAGGATTTTTTTTTATGAATGGATATTGAATTTTATTGATGTATTTCTCGGCATCTACTGAGATGATCATGTGGGTTTTCTTTCATTTTGTTAGTGTGTTATATCACATTGATTGATTTGTGTATGTTAAACCATCCTTGTGACCCTGGAGTAAATCCAGTTTGATCATGGTGTATGATCTTTTTAATGTATTGTTGGATTCAGTTTGCTAATATTTTGTTGAGGATTTGTGCATCTATATTCATAAAAGGTGTTGGCCTGTAATTTTCTTTTCTGATCTTTGTCTAGTTTTATTAGGGTAATGGTGGCCTCATAGAATGAATTTGGGGGTATCTCCTCCTCTATAGTTTTTTGAAATAGTTGGAGAAGGATAGGTATAACTTTTTTTTATGTGTTTGATAGAATTTCTCAGTGGAGCTGTTCAGACCTGAACCTCCAGGGAAGTCCCTAAAAATAAACCGATTCTTTTTTTTTTTTGGCCTCATGTGGGATCTTAGTTCCAGGACCAGGGATCGAACCCATGCCCCCTCAGTGGAAGCACAGAGTCTTAACCACTGGACAGATCTGAACTTTTGTTTGCAGGCCATGTTTTTGTTTGTTTTACAGAATCTATTTCACTTGTAATGATTATGATTAGTCTATTCAAATTGTCTGTTTCTTTTTGACTCAGTCTCAGCAAGCTATATGTTTCTAGAAATTTGTCCAGTTTTCCCCGTTTCTTCTATATTGTCCAATTTGTTGACATTTTAGTGTTTATAGTATTTTCTTATGATTTTTGTACATCTATGATATTGATTGTTATTTCTTTTCTTTCTTTCTTATTTTGTTTATTTGGGTCCTCTTTTCTTTTTGGTGAGCCTGGCTAAATGTTTATCAATTTTGTTAATCTTTTAAAAAATAAAGCCCTTGGTTTCATCCTTCTTTTCTATTTTTTAAAATCTCTGTTTTACTTATATCATCTCTGGTCTTTATGATTTCCTTCCTTCTGCCAACTTTGGACTTTCTTGTGTTCTTCTTTTTCTAATTCTTTTAGGTGGTAGGTTAGGTTGTTTATTTGAGATTTTTCTTTTTTTTCCCTTGAGGAAGGCCTGTATCACTATAAACTTCTCAGAATGGTTTTGTCTTTGATAT